AAGTGTTGGTGAGAAGAATTTTGGAGGAGGACCACCGTGCACCAAGCTCACTGCTATGGCTTTTCCAGCTAGGTAGTACCAGTCATCTCTTAGAGCTGCAAAACAAAATAATTATATGTTAAATGGAGAAAAAATTCAAAATTTTATGAAAAATTAAATGTGCTAAAGGATAATGTAAAAACCATCCTAAAAAAGCTGAAATCCTTTATGGGAATAATTACCAGCACTGTTAAGAGCCAAGTTCTTCTTGTTTTGTTTTCCCTCAAACATAGGGGAAATAGCAATGGTCTCCATTAGCAACCTCAAGAACTCCCTTCGTGGCCCACCAAGATCAACTCCTTCTTCATTCCTTCCCAAGTCATCTGAGAACTTCACATAGATCATGGAGTTGGGGTCATAAGATGCTCGTCGAAAACCTCGCAAGGCTCCTTCCCAGACTGCAGAGCGATTTATGTTGAACTTGCACTGGTGCTGAGGGTTAAGTTTGCTAGACAGATCTAGCAGTATCTCCTGAACTGGAACATTTTCTGTACTAAAGAGAGTCAAAATAGAAAAATCAAAATCTATATATCTATAACAAATGGAACTGCATTCATCAAGTAATTTAATCAAAATATGTGGACAATGTTGTTACTTTTTATCTTCTAACTTTATCTATGTACATTATTGTACAAATTATTTTTATGTTTTCTGTTTCAAAATATATGTGTGGTACTCACAGTTGACTTTCCATACTGGCAATTAAAGCCATGTTTATTTCATCATCTGAAGATTCATCAGAGATAGCTGCAACCAGTGTTAAATATGAAGAATAGTCATCATCATGAGGTCTTGTGCCAAGGTTTGCATTACTTCTCTCAAAGCAGCTTTTGTTATGACCACTCATGGAAGAATGGCCATCTTCTTGCTTTCCTTTCTGCCTTTTCACAGCACTGGCAGGATCAAGGTTGATGTCATGGCCACCTTCATTATTGCTGCTGGTGCATGGAATGCCACCTTCATGATGATTTTGAGAGCGACTGCTAAACCTTGTAACTGGTCTTGTGGTAACATGACTTTCCATGCTTGTTTGTGGACCATCAACTTCAACACAATCATCATCGTCACCCTTGTCATCAATGGTGAACACGCTTATAGGTTTGTTTGTCGCTTCGTTTTCGTCTTCAGAGTCAGACTTAAATGAAAAACAACAATAAAATTTAGAAGTGTTTACAGAAATGAAATTGTGACATTCAATATTTTTAACAGGAATACAACAAACAAGTAAACAACAACCACAAGTAAAAAAGAAAACTTACTAAAAGTGTTCTCGATGGTCTCACATACAGTGCTTTGGTTTTATAAACTTTATGGATTAGCATTCCATTCAGCACCTGACCTTCCTGGAGCTTAGGAGACACCAACTTATTGCCACATGCCATAAGTAGCTGAAGGCTGTGAAAAACATGACAAAAAAACAACCAATTATGTATCACAACTATTTTTCACTTATGTTAGTGGGTAGGCATTTGTGCTTACCAATTTACAATTAAGCTGAGTTTGATGACTAAATCACAGAAATTACTACAAAAATGATATATATATATATATATATATAT